TGGGGCGCCCCCAGACTCTGGGGGTTGGGGGTTGCTCCGACTTTGTCTCTCGTTGTCCGACTGTGTCTCCTCGCTCATACCCCCTGCCTCCTTCTCCTGGTCCTCCTCCCTGTTTCTCTTCCTACTCCCTCTTCGCCTGCTTTTCCCAGTCCTTTTCTTCCTCTTCCTCTTCTTCCTCCTCCTCCTCCTCCTCCTCAACCTCCTCCTCCTCCTCCTCCTCCTCCTCCTCGCCCCCAGTGCGCCCAGGAGGCTTCCAAGATAGCCTCATGACGGCCCAGGAGGCCCCAAAGACGGCCCCAAGAGGCCTCTAAGACGCCCAAGATGGCCTCCAAGACGGCCCTGAAGCGCCTCAAGAGGACCCCACATCGGTTCAGAGAGGCCCCCAAGACGGCTTCCGACGGCGTCAGACCCGTCAGACGGGCCAGGAACGCTTTCAGACGGCCGAGGAGAGGCCCCCAAGACGCCCCCAAGGCCCCCAAGAGGCCTAAGGAGGCCCCCAAGAGACTTCCAAGATGCCCCCGGGAAGCCCCCAGGAGGCCCCACAAGAGTGCCCCAAGAGGCTCCCAAGAGGCCTCTTCCTCCTCCTCCTCCTCCTCCTCCTCCTCCTCCTCCCTCTCCTGATCCTCCCCCTCAGCCTCCCCCAAGTGTTTCCCGAAGAGTTTCCGGAGCGGCTGGGGGAATCATAATCAGGTAGCTTGGCCAAGCTGGGGCCCGACGTTTGGCCACGTAGGCGCTTCTCAAAAAGGCTGGGGGCGGCGGTGATTCGCCGTAGGCGTCTTGGATCCGCCGCCCCCTGTGCTTGCCACAGGGGTGGACGGCGTGCCAGACATTTTGCTGCTCTTGTTATTTTCGAACCCTTCCCAGTGGCGTTCGGCCCAGACCGCCTGTCCCTTGCAAGGACCAGAAGGTGTGGTCCACATCGCCACCAAAGCGGCCCAAATGGCCCAAGATGGTCACCAAGATGCCTCCAAGGCGGGATTGCCCCAAGAGAGCCCAAGACGGCCCCAATAAATTTCCAAAACGGCCCAAGATGCACCCGAGGCGTTCCAAGATGGCCCCAAGATGGCCCAGGGAGGCTTTTAATGCAGTCCAAGAAGCCTCCAAGGGGACCTGCAGGAAGGCCCGAAGAGGCAAGGACATCTGATTTCCCGTGGGCTCTTGACGGATTTTGACGTTTTCGGCCTGCCGACGGCCCAATGTCGCCCAAGAGACCCCCAAGAGGCCTCCAAGACGGCCCCATGACGGCCTCCAGACGGTCCAAGAGGCCCCCCAAGGCGCCTCCAAGACGGCCCACGAGAACTCCAAGGCGCCCACGATGGCCTTCAAGACGGCTCCAAAACGTCCAAGATGGCAGCGATACGATTCGACATAGCCCGAGGATGGCCCAAGACAGCCCCAGAGGGCCTCAAGGGGATCCACGGGGCCTCCTAGACAGTCTAGGAAGTCTTCAAGAGGACCTCCAGGAGAGCCCGAAATGCCCAAATGGTTGTATTCCCTTCAATTGTTGAATAATTTGGGCGTGTTCTCTTTTTCGGCTGTCCGACGGCCCAAGATGTCCACAAGATGGTCCGAAGACGGCCCAAGCTGACTTCAAGATGGCCCCAAAAGGCCCCAAAGAGCAAGAGGAAAGGACGGCATCAGAGGCCCGAAGCGGCTCCGAGAAGCCTGCAGCTCAGCGCGGGCTCGTCTGCGGACGCCCTTGCCCCCCCAGGAAAAACATATCACCCCGAGGCCCGGTGATTTTTTGTGGGTCCGCCCTCTCAAGGCCCCACGGCCAGCTATTGGGTCGATGAGGAGGAGGGGCAGGAGGACGAGGAGGTGATCAAGAGGAACCAGAGGAGCAGGAGGAGCAGGAGGACGAGGAGGTTGAGCAAGGGGCCAAGGACGGAATAAAAGGCCCGAAGCGGTTCCGAGACAAGACCGCGCTGAGCTGCAGGGTTTTCGGAGCCGCTTAAGGCCTCTCATTTCGTCCTTGTCCCCCTTCTCAACCTCCTCGTCCTCCTGCTCCTCCTTCTCCTCGTTTTCGTCTTGATCAACGTCCTCGTCCTCCTGCTCCTCTTCTTCCTCGACCCAAGAGCCGACCGTGGGGCCTTGAAAGGGCGGGCCGAAAAAAGTCACCGGGGGCCTCGGGCTGATTTTTTGTTTTGGGGGGGGGGGGCAGAGGCGACGAACCCGCGCTGAGCTGCAGGCTTCTCGGAGCCGCTGCGGCCAAAAAATGCCTGCCCTGCAGGCTGTCTCGGAGCCGCTGCGGCCAAAAGAAGGACACTTTGTCGGTTTAACTGTTGGGTCGCTTTGTCGGCTGATTTCGGGCGCGTCGTCGTCGTCGTCGTCGTGGTCGTCGTTGTCGTTGTGGTGTCGTCGTCGTCGTCGTCGTCGTCGTCGTCGTCGTCGCCACCATCGTCGTGGTCGTCGTCATCGTCGTCGTTGTCGTCGTCGTCGTCGTCGTCGTCGTCGTCGTCGTCGTTGTCGTCGTCGTCGTCGTCGTCGTCGTCGTCGTCGTCGTTGTCGTTGTCGTCGCCGTCCATAAGATGTCCCCAAGAGGGCCCTAAGAGGGCCCCAAGAGGGCCCCAAGAGGGCTCCAAGGGGGCCCCAAGAAGGCCCCAGGAGTGATGTACCAACCCAGCGGCCGCTGGTACATAACTCCTGGGGCCCTAAGAGGACCCCAAGAGGGCCCCAAGAGGGCTCCAAGAGGGCCCCAAGAAGGCCCAGAGAATTCTGTACCAACCCAGCGGCCGCTGGTACATAACTCTTGAACCTTCTTGGGGCCCTCTGATGGCCCTTTCGGAGCCCTCTCGGGCCCCTGGTTGGCCCTAAGAGGGCCCCAAGAGGGCCCCAAGAGGGCCCCAAAAGGGCCCCAAGAGAGCCCCAAGAGGGCTCCAAGAGGGCCCCAAGAAGGCCCCAGGAATTATGTACCAACCCAGCGGCCGCTGGTACATAACTCCTGGGGCCCTCCTCCTCCTCCTCCTCCTCCTCCTCGGCGACGACGACGAGGAGGAGGAGGAGGTGTAAACGCACCCTTACCCAGCCCCTGCAGGACCAGGCAGCGACACTTGGACCAAAATTCCCGGCCCCTCTTTTGACCCCAGAGCTCTCGGCCCCGTCCAGGAGTTCCCGACCCCAACCCGGAGCTTTCGGCCCCATCCCGGAGCTCTCGACCCGCAGACGACGGCGACGACGACGACGACGACGACGCCTCGACCTGGAGTGGTAAGTTTTGCTGCTGCTTTTCCCCAGGGTTTTAGAGCCCTCGGGGCCCGGGGGGGCCCCCAAACGGATCCGAAGCCTCAAGTTTTTCCAGCCCACGACCGACGACCAGCGACGGCGACGACGACGACGACGGGCATGAGTTACTTGGCGCCCCCCCTTGGGAGCATCGGGTAATTGGGGGGGGGGCGCTCCACACCCCCCACTTACCCGGTGTCCCCCGGGGGACATCGGGTAACTTGACCTTGCAGGGGGGTGTTAGGCACGGGTTACCCGGTGGCGAGGGGGGGGCATCGGGTAACTCGACCTTGCACGGCGGGGCGTCGGGCATGAATTACCCGGTGTCCCCCGCGGGACCTCGGATCAGCGGGGGGTGCGCTCGACACCCGCCACTTACCCGGTGCCTCCCGAGGGCGTCGGGCAAGTCGACCTGGAGAGGGGCGCGTTCGGCATTATTCGGTAAACCAGTGGACCCCCATGAGACATCGGAGTCACCCGGTGGTCCCCGTGGGACAGCGGCCCATGGGACATCGGAGTCACCCGGTGTCCCCTGGGGGACATCGGGTAGTTCGACCTTGCAGGGCCGGGGGGGGTCTGGTCACGAGCTACCTGGTGCCTCCCCGTGGGACATCGGAGTTGCCCGGTGTCCCCCGTGGGACATCGGAGTTAGCCGGTGGTCCCCTTGGGACATCGGCCCGTGGGACATCGGAGTTGCCCGGTGGTCCCCCGGGGGACATCGGGTAGTTCGACCTTGCAGGGCCGGGGGGGGCTGGTCACGAGCTACCTGGTGCCCCCCCCGTGGGACATCGGCGATATCGGAGTTGCCCGGTGTCCCCCGTGGGACATCGGAGTTAGCCAGTGGTCCCCGTGGGACATCGGCCCGTGGGACATCGGAGTTGCCCGGTGGTCCCCGTGGGACATCGGCCCGTGGGACATCGGAGTTACCCGGTGGTCCCCGTGAGACATCGGCCCGTGGGACATCGGAGTCACCCGGTGGTCCCCGTGGGACATCGGCCCGTGCGACATCGGAGTTACCCGGTGGTCCCTGTGGGACATCGGCCCGTAGGACATCGGAGTTACCCGGTGTCCCCCGGGGGACATCGGGTAACTCGACCTTGCAGGGGGGGGTCTGGGCATGAGTTACCCGGTGGTCCCCCGTGGGACATCGGAGTTACCCAGTGTCCCCCGTGGGACATCGGAGTTACCCAGAGGTCCCCGTGGGACATCGGCCCGTGGGACATCGGAGTTACCCGGTGGTCCCCCGTGGGACATCGGAGTTATCCAGTGGTCCCCGTGGGACATCGGCCCGTGGGACATCGGAGTTACCCGGTGGTCCCCGTTGGACATCGGAGGTAACTGGTGGTCTCCGTGGGACTCCGGCCGGCCTGGCCCCTCTTGGGCCCTCTTAGGGCCTTCTTGGAACCCTGGTTGGCCCAAAAGATGGCTCCAAGAGGGCCCTAAGAGGTCCCATCAAGAGGGCTCCAAGAGGGCCCCAAGAAGGCCCCAGGAATTATGTACCAACCCAGCGGCCGTTGGTACATAACTCCTGGGGCCCTCTTGGGGCCCTCTGAGGGCCCTCTTGGAGCCCTCTTGGGCCCCTGGTTGGCCCTAAGAGCGCCCCAAGAAGGCCCCAGGAATTATCCGTAGCCATTTTGGCTCAAGTACGACATCTATCAAGCCAGCTGGGCAGGAGCAGCTTCTTCAGCTGGTCCAGAGGTGGTCTGCCCAGGCCAGGACTCAGCAGCTTGCACGCTTTTCTCTATTCCTTTCCTCCCTCCCACTGCACAGCGGCCGCCATGCCTGCCGCCGACAGGTCCCGATCATCGGACTCGACGGGAAGCAGTGAATCCAGACGCAGGGACTCCTCGTCCCGAAGCCGCTCTGGCCGCTCGGATCCTGGCCGCTCCGTTGGCACCAAGAGCAAGCGCCCGAAGGCCTCCGACGGCGAGAAGCTCGACGAAGTGCTACGCGCGCTCCGAGGTTTCGGCTCGCAACTCTCCACGCAGTCCTACGACATTGGCCTCATCAAGAACCAGGTCGCTGCACAGACTGTTAGGTGTGATCAGCTCACGGTGAATATGACCACCCTCACCAATGACATTCAATCGAAAGTCGCTCAACTCGAAGGCCAACAGTCCGCCATGTTCACCGACCTGAACGACCGCTTCACCACGCTCAAGGGTGAGGTCCACACGCAGATCACGAATGAGCTCCGCGCCCAGGAAGCCCGTACAGCCGTGCCTATCTTCGACATAGACGACGAACAGGGTGCTGAGGTTCACGCCAAAATTCAACAACAGATTGCCGAGATCAAGGCACAGTTACGCACTATTTCGACAGCCCCCTCGGTCTCCAGCTCGGTCGAGGCGCAGCAGGACAACACTTGCACGCTGGTCGCGATCGGCTTCCCTCGCAAGATGCTCGCCCGCTCCCTGAAGACGATTGCCGACGCCATCAAGTCGCAGTACGCCCCGCAGGATGTCCAGGCTCGGATCACCGCCAAATGTTTTGACATGGCCAAGAAGATCACCTTCCACTTCGAGAGCGCCTCAGACGCCACGAACTTCCTGACGAACTACAGTCGCGACGGGGTCTTTCGCCATCCTGACCCCCTCGCCCCGCAGAACATGCTCAATATCAAGCTCAAGAGAGACCAGGACATCAAAGGCCGCCAGCTGTTCCTCTCCATGGGCAAAGTGCGCGCGCTCGTATCCAACCTGTTGGCTCCCAGGGGCATCGAAGTTGGCAGCAATGGGTTGGGAGGGCTCGTATACGCCTTGAAGTCAGAGAATGAACCCATCGAGATTGCCCAGATCCAGGTCTCGGGTGACGACCTCGCGATTTCCGTCGAGCTCGACGCCGCTGGCCTGAGAGAGTTTGGGTTGGAGACCCAGGCTGCCGCCATCCGCGCTGCTGCGCTTGTGCCCATCAGGCGTCCCTTTCGACGCTGATTCTGACTGCACTTCGGGTGGCCAGGAGGCCACAGTGACACGCACACGGGGGGCGCGGTGCGAGTGGGGACTGCCCGGCGGTGCGCCGTTAGTGACCCTCGCACCGTTGCTCCCCGGCCCCGCGCACGGCGCGGAGAGTTCAACTCTGCCTCTGGCTGGATGGAACACAGTGACACGCACACCTCCATCTTTTTCTTCGCACGAACGTGGTGAGGCCTTGTCTAATAGTCCTCCCTTTTCCCCCTCTCCCAATAGTCTTCCCTTTGTCCCGAAGGCTCCGCTTACCATCTGTTCGTGGAATACACGCGGTTTGTTCAGCTCTGTCAAGCGTTCAGGATGGCGTGCCAGCGCACGCTACTCACTCCTCCTCTCGCTCCCTCGCAGATTCGCTATCACGTGCTGCCAGGAAACACACGGACACATAGGAGATATCGGAGAGCTCCATCGCGAGCTGGGCTCGGCTTCCTCGGGCTGGTCGATTGGATCCTCGTTCTTCCCCGACTCTCAGCGTGAAGGAGGGGTCGTCACGATCATCAGTAGCGAGCTTAGTCAGCTGTTCGACACTATTACACATAATCCGATTATTACTGGTCGTATTCTCCATAGTCGTCTCTCTGGTCTGAATGGGTCCATCAGTATATTCAACCTCCACCTCCCTAACACGAGTGACTCTGTTGCCACGTTCTCCCGCGCGCTGTCATTGCTTCGGTCTGAATTCCAGAAGTACCCGAACGATCATAGGATCTTGATTGGGGACTTTAACTTTGTGCCTGAGGAGGAGGGACGTATGCTGTATGACGGGTCGGGATGGAGAGCAGGTGATCGCGCTCAGGCCAGGCTTTTTCAACGACACTTTCCTCACCTCACTGAATTTTACCAAGAGCAGGACACTAGGCGGGAGGTCAGGGATGGGGTCATTACTCTTTCGGCACGTTTGGATCGGGCGTACACCTCCCTTCCTCAAGCCATCATACGTGACCTGGACATACGCTGTGGCGTCCTGGGCAAGCTCAAAGCAAAAATGGCTAGCGATCACATCCCGATTTTCATCAATATCGAGCCCTTCAGGCCCCAAGATGGCCCCAAAAACATCCCGAAGTGGATCTCGAAGCACCCGGAGTTCCAACGGTTCCTGGAGGCCGCCATTGCAGATATGTCCACGGAGCTAGGTCCCTGGGAGCGCCTTGAGCAGCTCAAGGAATTGATGTTCGCCTCGGCCGCGCACGTGCGCGAGTTTGTCAAGCACGAGGTTGCCAACACACTCGAGCTTAAGCAGTATTGGGCCTTGCAGGCTCTTCGAGGATGGCGACTGGGCAAAGATTGGCTAATCCACCGTGCACTTAAATGCTACCCTACGTTACAGTCGCATTTTTGCCTCACCACGTTTCAGTGTATCCGCCTGGAGGGCCTCTGCAGTCTCATTCGCAGTATCCAGATGCAATTGATTGATGAGGAAGCACGGGAACTTGAACTAGCAGACCTCTCCCCTGAAGTCAAAGCCTCCAAGAAAAACCGAGTCAATCGAATGCAGGAGCTGTGGCGACGCTTTAAGAGTCGTACCTGTCTGACTGGCATATACGATGAGAATGGTGTACCCTGCAGGTCTGTCGACCACTCCGCCGAGGTCCTTAAGTCTTATTGGTCTGCTGAGTTTTCCGCTCCTCCTCTGAACGTCGATGAATTGGGCTGAGATTGATGCTTTCATCCAACCTATCCCTGAACCCCTTCCTCGAGCCTGGAAGCTTTCATACGGGGAATGGTATGACTATGTGAGGTCGCGGGTCCACAGTATGCCGGGTGAAGATGGGTTGCCATACGGGGTCTGGAAGATTCCTGATGCGTCCCGTCTGTTATACGATGTCTATCTTACCCTCTTTACAGATGACGTTCACGAGCTGCCTACCCAAATGAGGCGGAGCCTCATGGTCTTCCTACCGAAGGGCACAGAACCTCGGGATAAGCATGATGATGTTCTTCGACACCCTAGCTGCACGCGCCCGCTCAGCATGTCAAATACAGATGTGAAGATCTTAGCTGGTGCCATGTCTTGTTCGTTAGCCGCCAACACCAGCAGCTTGATCTCGCCCGAACAGAAGTGCGTTGCTGGCAGGGATATGCTCACTAATGTTGTGGAGGCGGAGGGTTGGGGGTTGGAACAACACGTCCTCGACAGAAAGAACTCTTGCCTCTTCCTCACAGACTTTTGCGCCGCGTTCCCTTCGCTGGCGATCCCGTGGATGCTGCACGTGCTAGTCACTATGAAGGTATGCCCTTATGTTTGCAAGTTTTTCAGCCTTCTCTACATGTCTAATATTGCCATCATCTGCCTGGGTGGAAGGATCCATGGAGAGTTCATCATGTCGAGCGGGGTCAAACAGGGCTGCCCGAGTAGTATGCTTCTTTTTGTACTTGCTGCAGACCCTCTGCTTCGTTGGGTTCGTTTCAAGGCGTCAGCGCACATCGACAGGACTTTCGCCTACGCCGACGATTTCTGCTTTGGTCTCAGAGACGTTTTCCGCTCCCTGGGCCCCCTCCTCGCCCTGCTGACTCGGCTCGAAAAGATTGCGGGACTCAGGCTTAACTTCAAAAAGTGTCAGATCCTGGTCGTGGGCTCCCTTGATGTGAACCTCCTGAGGGACTCGGTTCGGTTGCTTGTGGGTGAGTTCAAAAAGATCCAGGTCTTAGAGGTTGTCAAATACTTAGGTATCTATATCGGCCGTGGTGCCGAGATGGTTGCGTGGTGCGAGGCCGCCCCAAAGTTTCGTCGCCGTGTCGGGATCACCAGACAGCTGGGCCTCGGTCTCACACGTTCGGCGCTGGCCTTCAAAGTCATGTGTGTCTCCATCTTGTCCTTCACTCTACAACTTCACCCTGTATCCCCTGCTCTTCTTCACATGTATAAGGAGGCGGTCATGTACCTCACTGCGGGGCCACGAAACTCACTCTCATACGACTTATGTACGCAGTTATCTAGCTTCCATCTTCCTGTGGAATTTCAGGACCTTCAGACTCTTGCCCGTGCAACGTGCCTTCGCTATGTTATTCGCAGCAGCACTTTCAGTATCACGTTGTCGAGGCTGGAGGCCCTGCGAGATGAACGTGAAAGTATCTTCGTTCGGTTTTGCAGTGGATGGTGGAATTCATCTTTCCTTGCATATATGCGCCGGCTGTATGAGTGGTATTTCAGTCTGCCTCGCACTCCGTCGAGTCCATCTCCCCCTACTATCTTAGCACGCATCCCATCTGAACACAAAAAGCTTCAACATTTACTTTATGGTATGCTCTGGGCCAACACGTCGCGTCGAGAACACCCACACAGTATTCTACAGCGTCGTATTCAAAAATGGTTTCCCCTAGTACAGCGTGAGATGGTTGACAGGTTTTTCATCAATGCCCACTACGTGATTCAGAAAACACAGCCGTATATGATAGTGTCGCTCCTCAGATTCCTCTCGAGATCAGTCTGTACTTCGACCCGATTTCATTCGGCGGCGAAAGGCTGCCTCCTGGGGTGCCCACACGCGCAAGGTCGTGACCTTGACTCAGTTGCTCACTATGCTCGCTGCCCCCGTCTCTTTCATCTATTTCATTGTTGGCTTGGACACATTCTTCCACCGTCGCCGTCGATTCCTGAGGGGTATCCCTGGCTCTTCCCCGCACTCCTTCTTTCACCCTCACCACGTTCGTCTAATGTTCTCTTTGCCGCCTGTATCGATGCGTTCCTCGCTGCCCATTCCGCCAGGCGTAAGGGCACCCCAGGAACCCCAGCTGAACACTTCGAAGCTCGGCTGCGAGTTACTGCTCGCCGCCACCCTTTCCTTTCACGAGCGTGGAGTCAGCAGGCCGCTGTGCAGTTCTCTAGTTCCTCCTCCTCCTCTCCCCGTGTGCGTGTCACCGCTGCTGCTGCTGAGGGATCTCAGCCTGGGCGGGCCACTACAGGCCGCGGAAGGTGGCTTGAAGTGCCCGAAGTGGGGTCTTGAGGCACAGTGCCCTCAAGCATCGCAAAGAAGTTCAGGGGTTGATAGGGGTAAAAAAAAAAGAAAAAAAAGAAGGCCCCAGGAATTATGTACCAACCCAGCGGCCGCTGGTACATAACTCCTGGGTCCCTCTTGCGGCCCTCTTGGAGCCCTCTTGGGCCCCTGGTTGGCCCCAAGAGGGCACCGAGAAGGCCCCAGGAATTATGTGCCAACTCAGCGGCCGCGGGTACATAACTCTTCGGGCCCTCTTGGGGCCCTCTGAGGGCCCTCTTGGAGCCCTCTTGGGCCCCGGGTTGGCCCTAAGAGGGCCCAAGAGGGCCCCAAGAGGGCTCCAAGAGGGCCCCAGGAATTATGTACCAACCCAGCGGCCGCTGGTACATAACTCCTGAACCCTCTTGGGGCCCTCTTGGAGCCCTCCCGGAGCCCTCTTGGGCCCCTTGTTGGCCCATATGATGGCTCCAAGAGGGCCCTAAGAGGGCCCCAAGACGGGCCCAAACGGGGCCCAAGAGAGGCCTCGCAAACCGCGAGTAGGTGCCATCGAACAGCGCGTCTGGGTGGTCTCTGGGGCGCGTCTTGGAGCCCTCTTGGGGCCCTCTGGAGCCCCGTGGGTGCTCCTAAAAAGGTTCCAAGGGACATCCGAGGGGGTGGAAGGCGGAGGTGGAGGGGGAGGTGGAGGGGGAGTTGGAGGGGGAGTGGAGGGGGAGGTGGAGGGGGGCGGAGGGGGGTGGTGGAGGGGGGAGTGGAGGGTGGGGCGGGGTTTGATTAGGAAACTGGAAGAGGTTTGACGACCACGACGACGACGACGACGACGACGACGACGACGACGACGACGACGACGACGACGACGACGACGACGACGCGACGACGACGACGACGACGACGACGACGGCGACGACGACGACGACGACGACGACGGCGACGACGACCGACGACGACGACGACGACGACGACGACGACGACGACGACGACGACGACGACGACGATGACGAGTGGGCGCCTTGGAGTTCTCGTGGGCCGTCTTGGAGGCGCCTTGGGGGCCTCTTCGACCGTTAGGAGGCCGTCATGGGGCCGTCTTGGAGGCCTCTTGGGCGCTCTTGGGGCCATCTTGGGGGTCTCTTGGGCGGCATTGGGCCGTCGGCAGGCCGGAAACGTCAAAATCCGTCAAGAGCCCGCGGGAAATCAGCTGTCCTTGCCTCTTCGGGCCCTCATGCAGGTCCCCCTGGAGGCTTCTTGGACTGCATTAAAAGCCTCTTGGGGGCCTCTGGGGCCGTCCTGGGCCATCTTGGAACGCCTCGGGTGCATCTTGGGCCGTCTTGGAGACACATTGGGGCCATCTTGGGCTCTTGGGGCAATCCTAGCCGCCTTGGAGGCATCTTGGTGGCCATCTTGGGCCATTTGGGCCGTCTTGGTGGCGATGTGGGCCACACCTTCTGGTCCTTCCGAGGGGCAGGCGGTCTGGTCCCTCCGAGGAGTAGGAGGAGGAGGAAGAGGAGGAGGAGGAGGGGGTGGTGGAGGAGGAGGGAGGAGGGAGGAGGGAGGAGGGAGGAGGGAGGAGGGAGGAGGGAGGAGGGAGGAGGGAGGGCGCAGGGAGCCGGCCACGGCCGCAGAGGGAGCCAGCGAGGCGCTGGGCGGCGCCGCGCTGCCGGGCTGCCGGGCAACCCTGCTGAGGCCCTGGGCGGCGTGGGGGAGCAAGGCGGGTTGCTGGGGCGCGAGCTGCAGCGGCACTGGGGGCGCGGGCGCGCCGCGCAGGGCGCTGGCCCGGTACTGGGCACTCGCGGCTGCACCGAGCTCCCCAGCGCCAGTGCCTTCTCGCGCATGGAGGCGCAGGGGGGCGGCGACGCGCGGATCAGCAGTGGCGACATCTCGAACACTTTCTACGCCATGCAGGTCCCGGAGCGCCTCTGTGAGTTCTTCTCCCTGCCGCTGTGCGGGCTGGGCTTGCTGGCGTGTCTCAGTTGGATGACGTCCTTTTGCGCGAGTCGGAGCTGTTGCTGCTGCTGCTGGGGCTCACCATCCTGCCCATGGGCTTGTCGTGGGCCCTCCACCTCTGCCAGTGCGTCTCGGAGGTCGCCCTCGCGCGCGCCCGCGTGGCACCCAAACAGCAGGTCCGCGACCGCAGCCTGGGCGCCCGGCTCGGGCCAGGGCTCCCCCCGCTGGGGCGGCCTACGTAGGCGACTATCTGGCGGCTGGCTGCCTGTGCGCGAAGGTGCAGGCCGTGGCGCAGAAGGTCGAGCGGGAGCTCTATTCGCTCGGCTTCGTCGTGCACGAGACGGTCAGCGCCGCGCGCCTGGCCAGCTTCGTCGGCTTCGACCTCGACGGGCACGAGCACTCAGCGCGGGTCTCTGCCCGCCGCGCCTGGCGGCTCCGCTGCGCCATCGAGGAGCTCGTGCGGCGCGCGGTGGTCAGGGGCGCGCTCCTCGAGATCGCCCTGGGGCGCTGCACCTGGGTCCGCCGCGAGCTCTGGCGCGTGCGCTCGCTGCCCCCGCTGTTCGTCTGCCTCGCGGGCGCGGAGTGGCATCGCGAGGTCGCGGCCAGTGGCGCCTCTGGCTGGGGCTGCGGAGTCTGCCGCCGTCGCTGCTCGCCCGAGGCCGTCGCCGAGGACTCGGCCCGCGCGCGCGAGCGCGCGCTGGGGTCGGCGAGCGCCGCCTCCGTGCTCCGCGACCCTGCCCGCTGGCCGTCCGAGGTCGCCAACGACTGGGGCAAGGCTTTCGGCGAGGTCGACCCGAAATTGGCGGTCGGCGACAGCGGGGCGGTCACGCATTCGATCTCGTGGCGCGACGCCCGTCAAGTCTACCGCGCTGAGGGCCTTGCGCTGGGCTCCGCGCTTCGGCGCCAGCTTCGCGCGTCCGACGCCTTCGGCTCGCGGATCGTCTGCCTCGTCGACAACGTGTCGTTTTCGCTCGCCATGGGCAAGGGCCGCGGCGTCTCCGCCCAGCAGCGCGGCGTCCTCCGGGAGATTTGCGCCCGCGCGCTCGCCTGCAGGCTGCGCGTTATTGCCAGGCGGATCCCTGGCGAGATCAACCCGTCCGACGGCCCGTCGCGCGGGCTGCCGTGCATCAAGCGCGTGGGCCCTGACTTTGCTGCTGGCCTTGGCGATCGCCTCTCCCATCGGCCCGGCAGCCGCCGGCAAAAAGGTGCGTCCGGCAGAGCCGCCGATGCCGACGGGCCGCCCGCGCCTGGCTGCCCCCCTTGGACGATGGAGCTGGCGTTCTCGGGGCGCCGCAGCCTGTGGCGGCGGCTGCCCGCCAGCGCGAGGCGGTGAAGGGGTGCCTGCAGCTGGGCATCACCTACCTCGAGCAGAGGTCGGTCGGCAAGGGCGCGCTCTCGGACTACCGGCGGAGGGTCGGCAGCTTCGTGGAGTGGTGCTTGGGCCTCCACTTGGATTTCGGCAATTGGGCCCAGCTGGACGTGGCCGTCACGATCTATTTCGACTACCTGTACTTCCACGGCTACAGAAGGGGCGACGCGTCGCGGCTCCTGTGGCGGCCCTCGATTTCTTCCTGCCGCCGATCGGCCGCGGGGGCGACCAGGCGCTTTGCCGGGCGTCGCGCAGCCTGGCGGGCTGGGGCAAGCGCGCCCCGCGCCGCGCGCGGAGACCTATTCCTTGGCTCGTGGTCGCGGCCGTGGCGGGCGCCATGCTGACGCGAAGGCAGTTTGAGCAGACCGTCGCGATGATCCTCAGCTTCGCCTGCTACCTCCCTGTCCGAGTGCGACCTGCTGATGGCGTTGCAGGTGGCCCCACCCGTCGGGGGGGCCGCTGGGAGTTCGGG